GTGCATAAATTATCATACTGCAACCTTGCTTTTGTTAATGTATTAAGACATTCTTCCTTTTTGGTGGCAATATATTCCTGTTCCAAGTTTTTAATGTCGGTCTCCAATTTAGATATCTTCTCTCGTTTGGCTCATCTCTGATGGAGATGGGGCAGTGACAGGGCGGAGGTAGAACATGTCCCACTGGTGCTCAGAAAATAACCTGAAACTGAACATCCTTAAAACAAAAGAGCTCAGGAGGCACAGGAAGATCCACTCCCCAATTATTATAAATTGAAAACGGGTGGAATCTGTCTCCAACTTCAGATTTCTGGGCACCCACATGTCCACCGATCTCACCTAAACCCACAACACCAAGCCACAGCAGTGGCTGCACTTCCTTCGTGCCCTGAGAAAGAACAATCTGGACCAGAAGCTGCTGCTGGCCTTCTACACCTCCTCAGTGGAGAGTGTGCCTGGGTGTTTGGTACGCAGGGCTCACAACTGAGAGCAGGTTGCACAGAGAGTAATTAACATGGGGGCACACCAAGTTGTTCACAAGCCAGCCAAGATACAATTGCTCCAGCAACTTATGGGAAAGGCATCCTAATCAGGTGCCCAAACCACCTCAACCACCACCATGCTGCAGCCCATCAGAATCAACACGAAGTGTGTGGAAAACGTGTCCAGCTTCAAGTTACTGGGTGTGCACATAGACACAGACCTCCAATGAAGCTCAAACACCCCGGCAGTAGTGAAGAAGCTCCGACAGCGTCTCCATTTTCTGAAAATCTTCAGAAAAATGGACCTGAAGAGGGAGCTGCTGATCGTCTCGATTGAAAGTGTGCTGGTATACGGCATCTGTGTGTGGTTCTCCAGCTGCACCACGGCACACAAAAAGGCACTTCAGCGGGTCATTAATATGGCCCAAAAAATCATTGGCCATCCTCTTCCCTCCCTCAAGCAGCTGTACAGCACTCGCTGTCTCAAGAAGGCACACAGCATCCTACGGGACTGTACACAGCCAGGACACCGGGTGTTTAAGCTGCTGCCGTCTGGCAGGAGACTCAAGGACAGCTTTTACAACAGGGCAATAGCCCTAATCAGTATTTTTTTTAAATTTTTTAATATAATAATATTAATGTGCAATAAACATTCACTCATTCTTTTATTTATTAAGCCATTCCTATTTTTTGCTCATACTTTTCTTGCACTTTTAAAAAAAATTAAAAGTTACTGTGTTTTCTTGTGTTTTCTTGCTTTTAGTTGCGCTTGGTGCTGACGTTGGACAGTTTCCAATTTTATTGTACTATTGTACTAGGTATGAATGGGCAATGGCAATAAAGAGTTATCTTAACTGCCTACTTTCAATGTGGAGAAGCAATGGCTCTACTCTGCACCATTGTGAACGTGAAGCATTTAATCTCCCGGTTTAAATTTCTATAAGTCCCACTTTTTTAATGGCGTAGTTAGCATTCATGTGAATTGAATGCAGTTTCCCTCTCAAGTTCAGGACATGATGCTGAAGTTTCCTTCAAGCACCTTGAGAACTTCTCTATAAGAACAAAAATCCAGTGGAGGCCTGGAGCTCCAGCTGTGGGGAGGTGAGGGCACTTTAGTTTAGGGGGTGCCACAGTCCCCCCTGCCATATCCCCTTGGAGCTCAACCACCTCTAAAGGTGCTGTCAGTTCATTACTGACTGTGTCATCAGCTGCTGACATACATATGTGTGCTGCTACTAGTGGGTTCCCATCATCAGGTTAACAATGCTATTGTTTTCTCATTTTAAAAGCTGTGCCCTTCACTGTGGTTGGGTGTATTTAGCACTTGGGATTACCCAAACAACAATAACCACAGACTCTTCTTTAAAAACGTGATGCAATTGCTGCCATGTTGATGCCTGCTGGTGTGGTCAAAATGTATGTGTGGCCATCATGTTCCAACAAGTGACTACTTGAGAGAATTAAAGCTGAGTAACCTGTGCATAGGTGCTCTGTCACTTAACTCCACCTCCAATGGTCCCTGAACCAGTATGCCCTACCTCTCTGATGGTAGTTGGGCAAAAACCACACCCCACTTTGACATAAAGGAAAGGCCATAACAGTTAGTTCACCCAGATATCAGGCTGCTGCTAAGCAAAGATGAAGCTCCTTGCTGTCCTTGTACTCTGTTTGACCCTGAGTTTCAGCAGTAAGTCATTTATTTTTTAACCCATCTTTGCATTTTTATTATGATCATATTACAGGCAGAACAAGGATGTCAGTGTGTTTATAACACCAGTCTGTCCGGTTTGTTTCCAGATACGCTGGACTCATGTCAGGGACGATGTGGTTATGGAACAGATAGCAATTACTCGTGCCAGTGCAACCCAGCGTGTGAGCGCTACAATGACTGCTGCTCAGACTACGCTGCATTATGTAAAGGTACATGACAGAAGTGCAATCTTGATGATATTTGATACCAAAAACATGTGCATTTGCCATTATTAGAGTTTGTGGTAAGCTACTAGTATCAGTATTTATTTTCTTGTAAGGGCAGGTGTGGTGAGAGTTACAACTCTCAGAACGAGTGTCACTGTAACTCCCTGTGCCCCCAGTACAACAACTGCTGCAACGACTGCAACGAACTCTGTTACAGTAAGACCAAAATATGTGTCGTGAGTAGCTGACCCCATCCCACCTTGCCAGATGGTGTCTCTACACTACTAGCTGTTCAGTTTGCGTTCTACAAAATCTTCCACTACCACCCCCTCTGTTGCAGACACCTGGTTGCTTTCACACGGCTAACGAGTTCCAGCAAGCAGCAAGACAGCGGGCTGTGGGGTTCTGTGTCCCAAAATCTGAATTTCTCAAACTATTCTTTGCGTCAGTAACATCATAGCTAGACCACTAATTACATTTTTGTAATTGTGGGGCTCTTTGAATTCATAAGAGTTCTACCAAAAGTGGGTACTCTGCTACTTTTATTAATTAATTTAATTTATTATCTGTCATAGATAAATAAATAAATAGCAAATTTTATCTCTGAAACTCTCTCATAATTCATCTCAGCGCCCTTTTATTTATCTTGGAGGGCCGACCTTTAGGTTGGGGACCTCTGGGGACAACAAACTTTATGTAAATTATTTAAGTATAACTGTGCTTTGACCACTTATATTTTAGAGTGAATTTTCTTTTATAAATTGACACAGAGTCATGAAGCTTTTTATCGTGATCCAGATGCAGAATGAGAACTAATTTCCTTTATAATTTCTTAATTTCTTTCTTTTGACGTATTATAGTTGTAATGTAGTATTTTTATATTGTGCCACAGATCCATATTGTGCTTTGGCTACTTTTTTTTTGCCTAAAATAATCTAAACACTTTTTATTGGCTTGTGGTGTCAGCAACTCATGGGCAAAGTTTTTTTTTTTTTAGTATATGTCCAGCAGGTGTCATTGTTGGGCTAGTCCATATAATGAACGGAGATTAAAAAGGCTCATTTTGTTCTTTCCCTAACTGCATTTGTTGCCTCTATGTTGAGTATAATCCCGTGGTGGAAGATGTATTTTGATACATGAAAGTAATACTAGAGTACAAATATACTCCAGTTCTCAAAGTTTATGTCTGATGTGATCTCTGACTTAAGCAGAGTTAAGTTGGACTATTTCACACACTGTTTTTAACGTGACTTATTTACATTCCTGTTATCTGTACTCTGACGTCTCCAGTAACACACATTTGTGCATGTATTTTGTAGATGTGGATGGTGCCGTAACTGATGCAGAGATCAAGTCTATCTCTGAGAGACTTTATTCTCTGGACTCAAACAAGGCTTCAGCCTCAGACTTGGTCATTGACCCTCAG